CAAGGGGTTGGGATGAGGTTAGTAGGTAGGAGGTGGGGGTGGGAGGAGGGGATAGGTGAGAGGAAGGACAGGTTAGGGAGGCGGGGATGAGCTGGGCTGGTTTTGGGATGCGGTAGGGGGAGGGGAGATTTTGAAGCTTGTGAAGTCCACATTGATACCATTGGGCTACACGGTTCCCAAGAGGAATATGAGTTGCTGTTCCTGCAACCTTCGGGTCGCATCGTTGTGGCACTGCAGGAGGCCCAGGATGGACATGTTGTCTGCGGAATGGGAGGGGGTTCGCGACTGGGAGGTGCAGTTGTTTAGTGCAAACGGAGCGTAGGCGTTCTGCAAAGCGGTCCCCAAGCCTCTGCTTGGTTTCCCCGATGTAGAGGAGGCCACAACGGGAACAGCGGATGCAGTATACCACATTGGCAGATGTGCAGGTGAACATCTGCTTGATGTGGAAAGTCTTCTTGGGGCCTGGGATGGGGGTGAGGGGGGAGGTGTAGGGGCAGGTGTAGCGCTTCCTGCAGTTGCAGGGAAAAGTGCCGGGTGTGGTGGGGCTGGAGGGGAGTGTGAGCGGACAAGGGAGTCACAGAGAGATTGGTCCCTCCGGAAAGCAGATAAGGGTGAGGAGAGAAAAATGTCTTTGGTGGTGGGGTCGGATTGCAGATGGCGGAAATGTTGGAGGATGATGCGTTGGATCCAGAGGTTGGTGGGGTGGTACGTGAGGACGAGGGGAATTCTGTTTCGGTTGTTATTGCGGGGAGGGGGTTTGAGGGATGAGTTGTGGGAAATGCAGGAGACACGGTCGAGGGCGTTCTCAACCACTGAGGGGAGGAAGTTGCAGTCCTTGAAAAACGAGAACATCTGAGATGTATGGGAGTGGAATGCCTCATCCTGGGAGCAGATGTGGCGGAGGCGAAGGAATTGGGAATAGGGGATGGCATTTTTGCAGGAAGGTGGGTGGGAGGAGGAGTATTCCAGATAGCTGTGGGAGTCGGTGGGCTTGAAATGGATATCGGTTTCTCGGTGGTTGCCGGAGATGGAGACAGAGAGGTCCAGGAAGGGGAGAGAGGTTTTAGAGATGGTCCAGGTAAACTTAAGGTTGGGGGTGGAAGGTGTTGGTGAAGTGGATGAACTGTTCGAGCTCCTCGTGGGAGCACGAGGCGGCGCCGATACAGTCATCAATGTAACGGAGGAAGAGGTGGGGTTTAGGGCCGGTGTAGGTACGGAAGAGGGATTGTTCCACGTAACCTACAAAGAGGCAGGCATAGCTTGGGCCCATGCGGGTACCCATGGCCACCCCCCTTTGTCTGTAGGAAGTGGGAGGAATTGAAAGAGAAGTTGTTGAGGGTGAGGACGAGTTCGGCTAAGTGGATGAGGGTGTCAGTGGACAGGGAGAAGCGGAGGGCCTTTAGGCCATCTGTATGGGGAATGCTGGTGTAGAGGGACTGGATGTCCATGGTAAAGATGAGGTGTTGGGGATCGGGGAATTGGAAGTTCTGGAGGAGGTGGAGGGCGTGGGTGGTGTCACAGACGTAGGTAGGGAGTTCCTGGACCAAAGGGGAGAAAATGGAGTCCAGATAGTTGGAGATAAGTTCAGTGGGGCAGGAGGAGGCGGAGACAATGGGTCGACCAGGGCAGTCAGGTTTGTGGATTTTGGGAAGGAAATAGAAGCGGGTGGTACATGTTTGGGGAATGATGAGGTTGGAGGCTGTGGGTGGGAGGTCACCTGAAGTGATGTGGTTGTGGATGGTTTGGGAGATGATGGTTTGGTGGTTGGGGGTGGGGTCATGATCAAAGGGGCGGTAGGAGGAAATGTCGGCGAGTTGGCGCCTGGCCTCGGCAATCTCTGTATGATCTCTGTGTTGCCTATGACCAAATCACATCCCAGGACACGATCCACCAGCATGCTACATAAGCACTCTTCATTCAAGCAGTATCCAGCACCACCTTAAGCATTTTCTGAACAACCTGAGCGTCTCTGCCTGTCTCTCCTCCTCTGACAATGCCCTTTTAAAAACAAATCTCTTTGACCAAATATTTAGCCGCCTGCTCTAACATCTCTCCACTCATTTCAGCATACGGTTTTGTTGAAATGGTCGCAGTGTGGGCGTACAAGTTCCCTCACCTCAACAAACTGTTGAGAGCTGTTCTCTGGTTCAGTCCTCCAGGTAATACCTCATGCAATCAGCGTCAACCCGACTGGCTTAAAATTTAAGCAAAGCCTGGTATTTAACTATCAGTCATCATCAAACTGGTTCATTCTCCATGGCAATGCCTCTATCACTTAGTGTTCACTTGCCAACCAATCAGCACTCTACTCTCATGCAGTATAAAATGTTGTTTTCTCTTTTTGCCCTTCGTCATACATCATATCTAAGGAAAGATAGACTGACATTGGCGGAAGTCCAGAGAAGGTTCACTCGGCTGATACTGGGTATGGAGGAACTGTCTTATGAGGAGATATTGAGTGAATGATGAAGCGTCGGTGTGTTTTCCTGCCTGGTTTTTAAACTCTGGAGCTGGATTGCCTCACTTCCGGTTTTCCTTCGTAGTGGAGTAGGTATGGGGTTGAGTTCTATCTGTTTATTAATAGCATGCTTTGTGGAAAGCCAGGCTTCTAGGAATTCCCGTGCCTGTCTCTGCTTAGCTTGTCCCAGGATATGGGACTTGACAGGATGGATGCAGAAATGTTGTTTCCCCTTGTGGGAGACTCTAGGACTAGAGGGCATCATCTCATGATAAGGGGTTGCACATTTATGATAGAGACGAGAATGAATTTCTTCTCTCAGAGGGTAGTAAATCCGCAGAATTCCCTACTGCAGAAGGCTGTCAAGGCTGGGTCATTAAGTATATTCAAGGTTGAGAGAGACAGAGTTTTAATCAGTGAGGGAATTGAGGCAGGAGAGTGGAGTTGAGGATTATCAGATCAGCCATGATCTCATTAAGTGGCAGAGCAGATTTGATGGGCTGAATGGCCTATTTCAGCTTCTATGTCTTGTTGTCCTATGCTTTGATATTTCTTACGCATTGTCCTGATGAAAGCAAGACAAAAGGCATTTTTTTCAGCAATGCTTGTTTTCACTGCACGAAAGGCGCTATGTAAATGCAGGTCGGTTTGTTTTTGTTGTTGGAATGGACAGTGGCTCAGTTAATTTTGGTTGCAGAGGTGGCGAGGTTTTGATTTTCGCTAACTATGTCTGTCCACTTTTGTCCAACAGGGATGCTTCAGAAGGTGAAAACTCTGGAGGGGAGCAACGATGGAGTGACCAGCATTGAGTTTGACCCCTCGGTGAGTGAAGGGGACCCTCGAATCTGGGGGCTGGAGTGACGCTTCATAATGCCACAAATGGGTGTCAGACCTTGGAAGGATTGGTGTTTGTCAGGAGGGTGGGGGTGAGGGAATCTATATGTGGCATTGGTTCCCCTCCCTCACCACTGCCCAAACTAATCCCTTCTGATAGATTCACAGCAAAGAAGCAGGCCCTTCAGCCCATCTTGTCCTCTTTGAAAGGCCTATCTAAACTGTACCCCTCCTCCTGCTGCCTCTCCCTGTGATATCATCAATTGTCCATCCATCAACTAGCTCTCCAATTCCTTTCGTAAATTGAGATAAAGTACAATGGGGATAAATGTGAGGTTATCCACTTTGTTAGGGAACACATGAAATATGATTATTATCTAAATAGCAGTAGATTGGGAAGAGGGCTTGCAATGAGAGCTGGGTGTCCCTTGTACACCAGTCACTGAAAGTAAGTATGCACATGCAGCAGGCAGCAAAGAAGGCAATTGGTACTTTGGCCTTCAAAGTGAGAGGATTTGAGTAGGAATGTCTTGCTGCAATTATACAGGACTTTGGTGAGATAACACCTGCAGTATTGTGCGCAGTTTTGTTCTCCTTACCTGAGGAAGGATGTTCTGGTGATAGACGGAGTGCAACAAAGGTTTACCAGATGATTCCTGGGATGGCAGGACAGACTTATAAGGAGAGACTGGATCGGTTAGGATTATATCCTGTGGAGTTTAGAAGGACGAGGGAACATCACAAAGAAATCTGTAAAATTCTAACAAGACTAAGGTTAAAAGCAGGAAGGATGTTCCCGAAGACTGGGGAGTCCAGAACCAGGGGTCACAGTCTAAGGAGATGGGGTAGGCCATTTAGGACTGAGATGAGGAGAAATATCTTCTCCCAGAGACTGGGGGTTTTGGAATTCTCTAACACAGAAAGCAGTTAAGGCTATTTTCCACAAGGAGTTAGATATTATACCTTGGGGGTAAAGGGGTCAAAGGGTAATGAGAGAAAGCAAGAACATGGTATGAGTTGGATGGTCAGACATGATCCTATTGAATGGCAGAGCAAATTTGATGGGCTGAATGTCCTTCTCCCACTCCTGTTTGCTTTGTTCCTATTTCGCCTCTGATCTGCTCTTGTATCCACAGTATTTGTAACATGGCAGTGATCTGATTTAAACCCAGACAGTTGATTAATATCATTTCCTCCTTCTCTTACCTTCCCTGTAGGGTCTACAGCTCTTAGCTGGATCTTACGACAACACTGCGCGCCTATGGAGTCTGAAGGACTGTGAGTTGAAGGTGTGTCTGAGCAGAATTTCTTTTTGTGTTTGAAATCTTGGTGCATTGTAGGGTTTTCCAAGCCCCTGTTACATGGGAATTTGTACTAGGGTTCAGACTTGAGTAGGATACTGATAGTACTAGCAAAGGCATGGGATTACAAAATTCTCAACCCAGTTCTGTTGAGCTACAAAATTGCAACCAGCATAATGACTGACCTCTGTGTCCCTACACGACAAGGACTGCTGAGGGATGGGTAATGAATGCTGGACTAGCCAGAGATGCCCACAAAAAATCGATGGGCAGCTCAGCGGTTAGCACTGCAGCCTCACAGCGCCAGGGACCTGGGTTCGATTCCACCCTCGGGCAACTGTCTGTGTGGAGTTTGCACATTCTCCCCGTGTCTGTGTGGGTTTCCTCCGGGTGCTCCGGTTTCCTCCCCCAGTCCAAAGACGTGCAGGTTAGGGTGGATTGGCCATGCTAAATTGCCCATAGTGTTCAGGGGTGTGCAGGCTGGGTGGGTTAGACATTGGAAATGCAGGGTTACAGGAATAGGGTAGGGGGGTGGGCCTGGGTGGGATGCTCTCCAGAGGGTTGGTGTGGACTGGATGGGTTGAATGGCCTGCTTCCACACTGTAGGGATCTTACGAAGATAAGAACTAGAAGCAGGAGCAGACCATTTAGCCCCTCGAGTCTGCCCCACCATTCAACACGGTCGTGGCTGATCTCATCTCCAAACAACAACCATTAAAAAAATAAACACAAACTGATAGTTGTTGAACGCTTAAATAATATACAGGACCTATCATTGAAAAGTGAAACTTACAAACTGATGGATTTCAATTCAATCATATCCTTATTTTGCATGTAGATATATCTGAGGTCTCATGTGGTTCAGTGATAGTGTCCCTACCTCTGTGCCAGCAGAGGTGTGTAATAACGCCTCTGAACAAGTTGACTTTTAAAAACAATCTATAAATGAGTATTGTGGTGTAGCTGCAATGTTATTGGGCACAGTCGGTACTCTGGGGACACACCAGCAGTTTGTGAAACATCAATTCAGTGAATAAAAAATGGAATTGAAAGCCTTCTTCAGTTATGGTTACCATGACAACTGTCATCAATCAATGGAATGGAAAGCCAGATTAATGATGACTGTGAAACTGGTGTTAATTGTTGTAAAAACAAACACATCCTCTTCACTAATGTCCTTTAGGGAAGGAAACCAGTTAAACATTAAAACTAAGAGCGGGCCGTTTAGCTATTTGGGCCTACCGTGCCATTAAAAGTAATCATGGCTGATCATCCAACTCAGTACTATATTCTCACTTTCTCTCTATACCCCTTGATGCCTTTAGACTCTATAACATTATCCATCTTTTTCTTGAATACATTCACTAACTTGGCCTCCACATCCTTCTGTGGTAGAATGTTCCACAGGCTCAGTCATAGAATCCTTACATGCAAGGGCAGGCCATTTGGCCCATCAAGTCCATATCGCCCCTCTGAAGAGCATTGCACTCAGACACCACCCCCCCCGCCCCACCTTATCCTATCCCTGCAAGCCTGCATTTCCAATGTCTAATCCACCCAGCCTGCACATCCCTGGACATTGCAGGGCAATTTAGCATGGCCAATCCACCCTAACCTGCACATCTTTGGACTGTGGGGGGAAACCGGAGCACCCGGAGGAAACCCACACAGACACGGGGAGAATGTGCAAACTCCACACAGTCACCCGAGGGTGGAATTGAACCCGGGTCCCTGGCGCTGTGAGGCGCTTCAACAGAGGCTGGACAGCACTGAAGATGTCAGCTAGAAGGGGGACGAAATGTTTGCAGGAAAACCAGTCAGCTCAGCGAACCAACCAACTACTCCAGGCAGCAGTGCTAACCACTGAGCCATAGTGCCGCAGCCATCCGTATTCATGAGCAAATGAGCATGGCTGTCCACCCAGGAAATTCCGTGTCACTGGTCATAGGTTCTGTGGCTCATTTTGTGTCTGATGAACCTCAGCCTGCAGTCACATCTCCAACCTCTCATCTGGTAGGCGTGCCTGGGAACTTGAATCAATCCTTGGCCTTGGGATCATTAGTATTCCTTTCTCCGGTTCCTTTTCCATACTACCTCTTCTCGAAGAATTGTGTCCCTTCATACAGGAGCTTTCTCCAAGTCGGTTCTTTCTGAATGGCGGTCTCCCATGTGTTGACATCTGTGTTGCATTTCTTGAGGGAAGCCTTCCGAAAATCTTTGAGATGCTTCCATTGTTCTCCTCTCGTTCAATTGCCATCCTTGAGCTGGATGAAGATGATTTGCTTTGGTAATTGGAAATCAGGCACCCTGAGTAGGTGACTGGCCCAGCAGAGTTGGTTTTGGATGATTATAGCCTTGATGCAGGTATAAATGGCTCCTTTGAGGACATTGATGTTAGTATGCCTCTCCTCCCAGCTGATGTGGAGAATCCATCACAAACAGCATTGATGGTACTTCTCCAGGGACTTGAGGAGGCATCAATATGTCGTCCAAGTTTTGGAGCTAGATAAAATTGTCAGAAGGATGACTGCCTTATACAGAAGGATCTTGGTATTAGTACGGATGTCATGGTCATCAAAGACACTCAGCATTGGGAAACCAAAGGCTCTTGCAGACTGGATATGATGTTGAATGAGGTGAGCGGTGTCTCCTCAAGTTTCGCCCATGTTTGGGAAGATTTCTCTGTTGATCTTAGTGGAAGGACAGATTGGAACATGCCCTGGAACGCGTTGCTGAAAGGCAGTTAAATTCAAAGTGGAGGATACTCAAGAGGCCAGAATTAGAGTAGGGAGATTTTTGAGGGTTGTGAGATTGAAAGAGGTTAGAGAGATATGGAGTAATGAGGCCTTGAAGGGGTTTGATAACAAGGAGAACTTTAAAGCATTCCTTCAAATTGGACCATGTAAATCAGTGGTTCACTAATGACTTGATTTAATATGATTTATTGTAGTCGCATGTACCTAAGTACAGTGAAAAGCTTTGTTTTGTGAGCAGTACAGGCAGATAAACAAGGACATACAGATCATAGGGTGCTTAGACAGAGAGAGGCATACAGGTTACAGCTGCACAGGAGATGCACAGAGCAAGATTAACATCAGCAAGATCAACATTGTCTGAAGTTCTGAAAGGTCCATTCAGCAGTCCAATAACAGGGGGGAAGAAGCTGTTTTTAAATCTGTTGGTGCATGTGATCAGGCTTTTGTATCTTCTGCCTGATGGAAGAGGTTGTAGGAGGTCGTTACTGGGGTGTGATGGGTCTTTGATGATGTTGACAGCCTTTCCGCAGCAGCGAGCTGTGTAAATAGAGTCCATGGATGGAAGGTTGGCTTCTGTGATGATCTGGGCAGTGCACGCCATCTTCTGTAGTTTCTTACAATCCTGGGCAGAGCAGTTGCCATGCCAGGCTGTTATGCACCCAGACGGTTTGCTTTCAATGGTGCATCTGTAGGTGTTGGTGAGGGACCTCATGGACATGCCAAATTTCCTGAGCTGCCTGAGGAAGAAGAGGTGTTGTTGTGCCTTTTTGACTGTTGCATCTATGTAGGAAGTCCAGGACAGATTGTTAGTTAACGTCACTTCTCGGAACTTGATGCTCTTGACCCTCCCCAGCTCTGTTGACATAGATAGGGGCATGTTCTCCTCCTTTCTTCCTGAAGTCAATGATCAGTTCTTTTGTTTTGCTGACATTGAGAAAATTTGTTATCATTGCACCGCAACACCAAGCCCTTTATCTGCTTCCTGTGTTCTGACTCAACATTGTTTGATATCTGGCCTACCAAGATGGTGTCATCAAAATGTCCTTTAGAGAAGGAAATCTGCCGTCCCTACTTGGTCTGGCTGACACATGACCCCAGACTCTCAGCTGTGTGGGTGCCTCTGAAATGGTAGAGTGAGATACTCCAGTTGTAAGACTTGTTACAAAGTCTGAAACTACTGTGGGTATCCCTATAGCACATGGACTGCAGCGGTTCAAGAAGGCAGCTCACCACCACTTTCTCAAAGGGCAACTAGGGGATGGCCAATGAATGATGGCCCAGCCAGTGACGCCCACATCCTGGAAATTAATTTTTAAAAAGTGAGCATGTAATCACCTGAGTAAAAGGTGGGACTGATAACTGGACCCAATAGGAGCGAGTCCTGGGCTCTTTGGGGAGTGGCTCAGAGATATCTGAGATGCTTAGTCAACTTAACATTGTTATTACTTCAAGTCCAATATTGACAGAAAACAGATCTCTGAACTGTTCGAGCTGAGGGTGATGAGGCCGTTCAGCCCATTGTGTCTGTACTACCTCACTGGGCGAATTTAAATTCCACCACCAGCAGCCATGGTGAGATTTGGATCTACACCTCTCCAACATTAGCCTGAGCCTCTGGTGCAGTGCAATTGCATCAATATCCCTCACAATTCAAAGGAAACAGACTTTAAGATAAATAAGGAGGGAAGTATGGAGTTGAGGATTATCAGATCCAGCCATGACCCCATTGAATGATGGAGCAGATTCAATGTACTGAATAGCCTACTTCTGCTCCCACATCTTATGGTCTTATTAAGTCCATGCAATCTTTAATGGGTTTTTTTTTTAGTCTTTCTCTTTTTTGTTGTATTTGATTGTATTCCTCAGTTTCGACATTTTACACTTGCTTGTTCTGCTTCGTATTTTCTCCCCAGCACACTTTGTCAGGTCACAGTGCAAAGGTCACAGCGGCAAAGTTCAAGTTTTATTGTCGAGAAGCTGTCACAGGAAGCCACGACAGGACAATCAAAGTCTGGGACCTGAGCAAAGCTGCCTGTGAGTAAGTTCACATCATTCCTGCTTCTACGTACTGCTGGAGGGTCAGCCTGCTCCTTAGCTATTATTTTGAACTGCTGTCTCACTTTCCTCACCTGTCATCTGATTACTTATGGCCCTTTCTCGGCTCTCTTCGTGTACCTGAATCCTGACTCATTCACTTTGATACTCCCCCAATCCTTCCACCAACCTCACACCTCACACCCCACTCCCAATGTTGGCAGTGTCTCTTTTGTTGTGTTCAAATAACCATCTAACTAACATCCTCCATCTGATGTACAGAGCAAGAGTTGATACAATTAACTTTGATTCTTACTCTCTCAAGGAGTTAGATATAGTTGCTGGGGCTAAAGGGATCAAAGGGTATGGGGAAGAGAGCAGGAACAGGGTAGTTGGATGATCAGCTGTGATCATGTTGAATCGTGGAGCAGGCTGAAAGGGCCAAACTCCTGCTCCAATCTTTTCCTGTCTCCCACTTATCTCTCTACCCCTCTTCTCTCACTCCTTCCCTCCTTCCATTGCTTCCTATCACCTCTCTCTCTCCTCCCTTCTTTCTGTCTCCTCCCTTGTATTTGCCTTCCCATTTTTTCTTTCTTTCACTTGTTTCTCCACCTCCTCTCTTTTTGGTCACCCCTCCCCTCCCACCTCCACCTCCACCTCCACCTCCACCAACCACCCCCCCACCACCACCACCTCCACCCCCCCAACCCCCCTAC